TACATATTTTTTTCTAAATCTTGGGGCAAAAAGTAGTATTGCATCTCGAGAAGAAGCACACGCAAGAGGAAAGGATCAAATCGGCATAGGTGTGGGARCAGAAATAGCTAAATGTTGATTGGGAGCAGTCCCAGTGAGAGTTTGCTTTGCATAAGTTGTTTTCTTTCAAAAACCAGGTAAGAAATTTGGAGTAGAAAGCCATGAATTCCTTCTTGAAATTGCGTTACAGTCTGTTCTGCACATCTGTGAATGCAGATGGTCACTGTTTTTAATACTTAGGCTTAAGAAGTAACACACTTGATTTCATGACTGAGGTAAAAATCATGCATTTAGCTTGTGTTAATTTTTGAACTCTCCTAGCTATGTATTTAGTAAAATTGCAGAATGATTATTATCACAACTGCACCTGCACGTATTTTGTATACTTAAAATAAATCTTGTACCTTACATGAGATAGCAAAAACAATGCTACATCTCTGAGTTTGATTCATTGTTCTTCATAATAAATGATGYTTTTCCTCTGTGTTGCCAAGTTTCTTAGGTCATGTCTCTGTATTCTTTTTTCATGATATACATTTGTTGGGAAATAATTTATAAATGATATAGAAAACATAGTGCATTGTTATATTTGCTGATTTTGAGTTTTGTCATTTTCTTATCCTGGTTTTCATCCTTCAGATAATCCCTCTGTCACCTGGGGAAAACCACACAGATCACATACTACTGGAGGCARCTAGTCTTTGGGACAAATAAACACTGGAAGATAATACTTAGTAACTTGTATTAAAATGATTAGGCATACCATTAATAAAAGTCTGAAAGGAGAAAATRCTTTTGGACTAAATGATAAATGAAAGACTAAGAATATATACAGATGTAAGATTTATAATGTGAACTATATCTTATTTATTGATATCATCTCTTTGTTGATAGTGTAGAAGTTAAACAGCTACTGTGGGTTTTTTTGGTGCATTTATTAGAAAGGTAAGTAGGTGAACTCAAATTCTTTCATGATGCTAGCAGGCTGTTATAGCACGCTTAGTGTATACAGAGGTCCATGGTATTAGCTGCTTGAATGTTTTGTCAGTATTAAGAAATGTAATGGTAAATGGCAGAAGAATTTGTTTCTTTTGTTTTGAAGGAGATTGGGGGAAAAAATCTCCCAAAATTATTTCACGATACTGAGCAACAGAAAAAAAATCATGATGATTATAGCATAAAATCATTAAAGTTCTCTTTGCTTACTGCAAATACTTTATTTCCTTAGATTATAGTATCAAAGAGTTCAAAAAAGATGGGAGATGGTATTGAACTGGATGATGGATTAGTGTATTTAGTCTGTTGGTGGGTATATACCTCCATTTTATGTATATTACTATAAATTAGGAATAATACTGATGAAGTCAAGAAGGTTCCTGTGATATGTACCTGATACAGTGAGGATCTGTCAGAGCCCCAAAGTTGTTCTTTCCAAATGCTTTTGTTGTATCCAGTGACTTTTCCTTCTTGTCAGCAACCGTTTTCTGTATTTTTCTAAGCCTAAGAGTGTTTTTTCTGTGTACATTCACAGCAGCAATACCTCTAGAGGAAGGTACGTGTTTGAATTGCCAGGCAATGTCTAATTAAACCAGCGGATAATCCTTACTTTGGCCTGAATATTTTCAGCAAATCTCTTGCTTAACCTGCTTCCCCATACAATTTTAGAGCCTTGCTGAGTTACTGCTCTGTCAATAATGGCAAGAGAGCTTACTGTGAAGATAAAAAGTGAATCCACGTTCACTCCCCACATAACCACATAGTTGCCTTTATTTACCTTTGAAAAGAAATCAGTTGCTCTGTAAAGTGCTGGTGTGATAAGTTTTATGCTAAATTAATTATCTTTATGCTAAACAGAGTGCAAAGTTCTTATAAAAGTATATGGGTGCAACTTTTTTTTATGTCTTGAATTGCTAAAATTGATATAAAAAAATGGAACTTTATCATAGTTCCTCTGGATTATCAGAGGAACTATGATACTGGATTACATCATAATTGTACAGGAAAAAAAAGGACATCTAGACTGGATTTTCAGTTGAATGCTACAGATTGTTAGTCAAGCAAAAGAAAGCTTAAAAAGCTGTGTCAATACTTCTCATACTCTTTCCAGTTTCTTGCTTTATTGACATTTATTTTTCTTAATTTCTCTAAGGACAAAAGGATAAAAGATAGCACAGGAGAAGCAGAGTTTTTGCTGTTTCAATGTTTTCCAACAAATCAGATTAAAACAAAGCAAAACAAAAATGGGAAATAGAATGTTAAGAAGCATTAACACAAATTGTGACTGGATTTTGCAAGCAAACCTRACACGAAGGACTGAGTGTGACACAGAATTATTTATTTTTTTCTTCCTTCTCAAGGAACATATTCATGTAGCAAGAAATGCAAACTCAGGATAGCTAAATGTATTTGGAACTCTGGTCAAAAATCAATTATTTTTAAGTCTGTCCTGCTCGAAGTATTTAGGTAAATACCAAAGCTAAGAAGCCCAACTCAATACTGCTTAGTTCCTTAAGTTAAACACTTTGGTGAACTGGAACTTTGGGAATCTAACTTAGTGATGTGATAAATATTTCTTTGAAAGCATAAGAGACTATTGCTTTGCTGTAGTTGTCTGAGTATTTTCCTGGAAAATATTGATTTGGTTGCTGCCTAGGTAGTTATTCATTCAAATATAATAGCTTCAAAAGAAGAGACTGCTTAGAAATATGTAATAGTGAGCCTTTTGATAATGAAAAGAAAAAAAYCTCAGTTTGTAAGACTGTGTTCCCTGGACCTTCCCTCTTCCATTATCATGGAAGGTCTGGAATCATGTGAAAACTTCCTTTATACTGTGATTTACTTAAAGGGCATGACTTTGTCACAGATGGGAAGACTGGCTTCTCACTAGTGTAAATGTTTTCTCTCTGAAAGCCTCTTTTAGTGCACTTCTAACCTAGTGTACCCCAATATGTATTTTTTTTGTTCTCAGGTTTTCCTAACTATTACTATTTAATCACTTTGAATGCTTTGGTATTTGCTGTAACTTTTTAAAAGATGAGATTGGAAATCATGTCTTTCCCTTTGTCCTTTTACTTCACTGCCGTTTTCCCAGAAAAGCCTTTGACCTGTTCTGTGGATGGCCTATGTGGTCCCTGGTAGAGGTGATTTTTAAGTGCTTTAGGGTCTCTGTAAAACAAAAAGTGAAAACTGAGTGACTGGGGAGTGGTAGTTAGACTAAACTTATCTTCTTAATAATAGGGTATCTTGTGATCTCCTAGAGCTGAAATGTTAATGTCTAAGTGGGTTTTTATTAGAAATATGTCTCTGAAATTCTAATTCAGATGTCAGAGGTTGACAGCAGCATGGCCTTTATTCGATACTCTGGTGCTGCTGTGTGACAAAAACAAGGATAATTTTATAGCTTCTTTCTTTTGCCCAAAACACAGCTACATTAGTCTGAAAGACAGCTGATTTTTCAAGGTCAGAAGTGCCTACATGTGAATTGATGAGCTATTATGCATGTCTGTGGTTTTTTTGATGGTTCTCTGTTAATAATATGCATGCAGAACGGACCATAAAAATTCCATTTAAAGATATTAAAGCATACTGGGATATTTAATCAGGTTGGAATTCCTGTCAGTTGGCCACAGGCACAGTGTTGTTCAGTCRATGATTAAGGAAGTGTGCAGAATATGAAGATGAATGTCTATTATATCAGTCCAGGTTTCACTAAAATGGCCCGTTTTGTTTTGGACATTTAGCTAATGGTTCAGTGGAATCACATTCTACAACTGGGCTCACGCTGCTGACTAGCAGAGTAGTCCTGCTGGTCCTACCGTAAGAAAACTTACGTAGAAAGAAAGAGACAAAGGAAGAAAAGATTTTGTAGTAGAAATAGTCACATGATGCAATAATTTTTTTTAAATGTTGCTTGCTTCAGCTTCCAGGCAATCCTAAAGAATAGCTTTGCTAGGGGTGTAAGGCACATGACTTTTCTTAGCAACCTTACTGTTAGAATGAAGCTCTTCTAGAGAATACTGAGAGTTAAAATAGTAGTTTAGATGTGTTAGGACTTTTACCAAACTAGCAAAAATATGATATTTGTAGCAGGACTAGATCCTATATGAAGTTGTTGTGATAATGTCATGTGCAGAGTTCCATTRCACTAACTCCAAGTTGAACTGACCCTGTTGAAATCAAATATGAAATAGCTGCAAAAGTTAATGAGTCTGGGAGTGAAACTAAAGCCAGGCATCGGAATGAATGTTTCATAATGTTCTATGTTTTTTACTTTARATGTACTACTATGCATGTAGTAAATGTTTTGTCAATTAAGATCAAAGATTTTCTTAATACAATGAATGCTGATTTGGAATAGGTTAGAAGATTAACATTTCTTTTTTTTTTTTTTTCAGGAAATGATTTAGAATAAGCAAAACAAAATATTTTCATAGTGTAATGTCTGGATTATTTTGCTTCAATTTTTGCCTCAGTTTTTAAAATAAGTTTGATCTACCATTTTTGTTATTTACTGTGACRAACTTGTATTACTTAAGTGCATTTATTTTATGTGGAAGATAGATTAATTAACCAAAGTAAGATAAATATAATGAATATTTAACACTCCCACGAAGAATTTTTGATTTTTTTATGTTTTAAGAAACCTGCTTTTGCTTCTTTTTGTGTATATTTTTAAATGTTCTCTAATCCCCTATATGTGGAATTGCTCGTATTTTCCTGATTTTTATTCCAAAAAGTGTCGGATCCTTTATTTTATTCCATCTGTCATTCTAGTAATGCCCAGGAGAAATGTTAGTTTACGCTTTAATGGTTCTTTTTCAAAAAACAGAGGTCACCCCTGTATGGTAAAAGGAAAGAAGAGACTGGACACTTCCTTGTGGTTAGCTCAGTATCCTCTTGCCATGGACATTTTGTCCCCATGCACAAATCTTGAGATCTGTTTCTTTTGTGTTTTTTGGCAGGGGATGGGTGAGTAGTACTGCAGCCTGTGACCCTGCCAAGAAATGCGTGCCCATACCTCAGCCTACCTTGTCTTCTGAAACTGCAGAGTGTTTGGCATCCAGGTAAGGGTTTGACAGAGACAATTCTGAAAAACTGGCTTTTTGATSATCAAAACCTCTTATGTCAGCTGTTCTCTAGGCTGAGCCAGAGTGGATGAGGGAGTCTTTCTAGCTGGCTCACACAAGTGGAAAGACTCCATTGCTTTCAAGGTGAAACACAGCCATTTGCTACTTTCCAAATACTTAAATAATTTCTATTAGAGAAGCCTAAAGAAAAGTCAAGATTTAACTTTATTCTCCTGCTCACAGCAGGAGTCCTGTTCATATCAGGCATTTCTCATATGATGTTCAAAGTTGATCAAAACTTTGAAGAGAAATATAAGAAAGGTTGAATGGTCTATTAGGAGCGAAGTACAGTGCATAAATAGYGCCTTACATCATGGAACCTTGTAAGGACACCCATACCTTACGTAACTCTAGATACACAATTCTCATGGTAAAGGCTATCTTAGAAGTGTATATAAAAACCCGAAAGATGTCTAGTTTTGATTTCAGTATTTTTATTATTTATCTTTGCCTTCTTTATTTGTATGTAGGATAAAAGAGAGGAATTGTGGGAGATTATAAAATGTTTTGTCCTAGTTAAAGCTGCGTAGTTCCAAATAATTATCATTAATATAATAGAGCTAAAGCTATTTGGTGAATAAAATCCTGACTAAGTGAGCACTTTAGCACTCTTTTACTTCTAAAGATCAGATAAAGTAAAATTTCGCCAAAATACCTCCTGATACTTATTAAGGAATCTTTCAAGATATAATTTTTATTCTGAGGCCCTCACATCATGAAATTAGTATATCTGATACTCAGAAGTAAAAGYGTTTTCCCCAATAAATGGTCCCTACAAATAACCTATGGATCTTCAAAATTGTAGCCTTCGTGCAGGAGGTTGGCAGTACTGTTTTGATGGGTGAGCAGTGTTCACTCATTCCGTTTTATTACTTTTTTTATAAACACTTGCTATTATCAGCTAACCACCGTTTGCTAATAATAGATCACATTATTATRTTTTCACTCTATTTTTAATGGCTGCTAAGCATTTAGTAGTTATACATTATGAATTGAATAAAACTTAACTCATTTTCTTTGCAAATCTTTAATGAACTTAATCTGTTTTCACTTATTTATTTTTTGACTGTTTTATAAGAATAGTTCAGCCCATGCATTGTTTTCAGGTTCCTTACTATTGGAATTGCTTCAATTATTCTGTTCCTATAGTTTCATGTGTGACTTGTTTTTAATGTTAGAAATAATAGACTGCTCTGCAGGATCTATTTTTAAATATTTTCATGAATATTCTTGTCTGTAAAGTTGTTTACTCGAATACATGTACAATGTAAGTTCCTTCAAAACAAGTGAGCTCGCAGTAACAACATTTGTCAGAAACATGGAACAAAAACAGAAATAATCCTTTTGCAAGATYTGTGCGATTTAGAGTAAGGTGAGACCACTATCACCTGCTATTCTGGTCTMTTCTGACTTTGGAACTTGTCAAAAATTGTGATTTCCATACAGGCAAGTCTAATTTTGAAACTGATTCTTTATATTATAACCACCTCACCATAGATGGAGGATTTAAATCGGAATGAGAAAACAAGCCCTCAAAGATAGAGTTATTACATAGCAGCTTTCTAGCAGCTTGAGAGTAACCTGGAAACACATCCAATCCAGACTAGAGATTTCTTCATCATTACCTAGACCGTTGTCTAGATCTTGCACTTAAGCATCTATAGGTACGTGTGTGTATGCAGGTTTGAATGAAGTATATTTACAATGATCCTGAATGTATTTTGGTTGTTTCATTGAATTGAAATGTTATAATTGTTTGCAGTGTCCTAAACTCCTGTTTTTTTCTACCACTTGTAAGGAACTATAAATTTCACTAGAATGTTTCTAGTTTCCTATAGTATTATGATTTTCTGAATTATTTCTRAATTATTATTTGGCATAACTAATTTTGTGAGAATTTACAAGTTTTCAACAAATTAACAAATGCATATTTCYCAGAAAAATCCAGAAGAATATTAAGTTAGATCTAACTGCTTGAAATCTACTGTTTGCAATGTGCAATTCCTGGTTTCAGAAGTCCCTGAACTAGAAATGACTAGCACCCAAAGTAGTGTTATATGGAATTCACCTTATGTACGTTCTAGGTTCTTTTACTTTTCTAGATAGTTTTTGCTCATCGTTATCCAAGACAGGGATCTGGTATGGCTCAGTATGCCTACTTTATAGTGAGTTTATTTTCTTTTCTTTATATTGTGTATTAATAACTTGTTGCTTCCTCTTCCATTTTTTTTTTTGGGTCACTTAATTAGCTTACTGTCCTCTCTTATTTGATGTTAATATTTCTTCATTGCTCCCTGAGAGAATTACTGAAGGGTTAACAATTCATTAAATGTGAGAAACTGAAGTACTCTCTTACCTTATGTAATTACATTAGTGCTGGGTTTTTCAAACTTCAGTCAAGAGAGCTTGAGAAACAATCCACTGCTGAGCGACTGATTTGTTAGCTCACATCCAAGAGCCTTGGAGAGCTGCAGTGCCGGCATGGGACGTAATGACCCAGGACAAGAAAGTGATTCTAAGAAAGTATATCAAGAAAGTGATTCTGAATTGTTATTTGGCAGTAAAATATTCCAAAAACTGTTGAAACATCTCCCATGAAGGGCAGCAATATTAAGTATGTGGTGTGTGGCTTACTGGTCTTCCATGTGTGTTGCCATCTGCTTTTCTATTTATTTATCTACTTAAAGATACAATAATTTGTGCATCCTTCTAGTCTATACTGATGTATTTTGCATGTATTGCATTTTTTGGAAGTGATTCTTTTCTAATTGTGACTGGCTGAAATCAATAGAGACTTTCATTACAGAATGATTGTGGTTGGAATCCTTCACCATGTCAAAATAACAAGATTACTTTTCTGGAGAACGGAAACAGAAGGCAAAGTGTGTATTGCTCTAAAATTATTAACTATGATAAAAGAAATCTATATATAGTGAATATATTTTTATAATACAGTTAAGTCTTTAGTGGAGTGCCTTTTAAGACTAGCCAATTTTTGTTAGATCTCTGTAGAGAACTTCATAACATTATACTGAATTCTTGACAATTTTAGCTTAACAAGAGTTTTGCATCATTTCTTTCACAGTTTACAAAATCAACAGAAATTCTGTGAACACTAAGTATATTTCTGGTGTTGGAAACTGGAAAGAGTTAAAGATATTCAAATGCTCTGTGGAACTGTAGGTGATCAATATGAAAACTGCTGCACAACAGTCAGCTAGTGAAAAACTAATAAAAGGCAATCAATGCCACCAAAGGTGAGTTTTAAGCATACAATGATTAAGCAAAGGAAGGTGAATTAAACATCTGATGATCTTTTATTGCTAATACAGTCAGTGCATATACAGTCTCAGGTATTTTTATAGCCTGGAAGCTTCTTTTTCCCTAAAGATGACAGGCAAATTTGACTATCTGCTTAGGGTCCTGCCTGTTTAAAAGTGGAAAAAGTAGTTTTCTTTGTGTTTTTCTGATCTGTCTAGTTACCTTTAAGAGTGAAGTTGAACTATTGTTAAGTAAGTTAATTTTCATAGATACAAAACTGTAAAGTTTTAAGGGTAAAAAATTGTCTAGAGTGATAACAAACTCTGAAAGTTCAGTATTTCAATGGAAACAAATTACCATGGAAATATATTAAAAACAAGCAAATGAAACAGCGGCATAATTTTCATGTTATTCAGTTCTGTACATGATATTTAAAAATAGATATATTATTTAATATAAATATGTATTTCCTGTTGCAAAAGCTAGTTACTTTCAGCAATTAAAAACATCAATTAGAAAATGCAATATTGGAGCACAGGCAATGTAAAATTTTATATAAAAGTGTATTTCTTATTGAGATGGAGCATATAATATCTTTAAATATCTAAAAACACATCTAGTATTTATTAATGGCTCTCATCTAAACAAAATTAGCTCAACCTCAAAAATCTTATCAGACTAATTCTTTAGAGTAAGAACCCTTAATTATGTTTGGCTCAGGACAGAGTCAGGAGATGGGCAAAAGTGATTCAGCTGCGGGATCAGCTCAGCCTCTGATGGAGMATAGACCTGGGACTTGGATGTAGCTTCCTAGCGGAAGGAAAGAGAATTGGAAAAGAAAGATGGAAAATGAGGACACACCATCACTATTCTTTCTGTAAATTTAGACATAAATTTACAATCTARGGTCTTAACCTTATCAGGCGAGTAGATGTATATTTAAATAGGCATTTAGCAATTTAACAGCAGAAATGTTTTTTTCCATCTAATGTATTTATAATCATGAAGGGCTTCTCTTTTTTTTTTTCTCTCCTTTCTCTTGACCTTTTATTAGAACACACATTGAAACTGTGAGGTGGGGAATGTTGTAGAGCTTTGCTGGAGGYGCATGAAGCTCATTGAAAGCACAAATGTTATTGTATAAAGTTCACAAACTGTCATCTAATTTCTGTCCAAAGATGAAAGGTTAAATATAGCTTTTTTTAAGGGGAACTTGGTCGATGACAAGTTGAAAGAYTGCAAAATGCAAGTGGCTCTTGAAACCGTGCTTTGCCTGTGAATGACTATCAAACAGGTTAAGAGATGAAAACATTTAATTTCCATGCTGCAAAAGCTAATGATCAAATTATTCATTTTGCTTCTTCCTGTAAAGAAAGAGAAAAATCTCATTTCTCTGAGAAACAGAATGCTGGAGGATGGGATGAGTGTTTCCTAAGGAGTGAGYTAGGGGGATTTTAGTCTGTACTAACTCTTGTCTTGTCTGGTGTCACAAAGAATGCTGGCTACCATCAGAAAACCTCTATGTCTACTTGTGGAACATACTTTTGGCTTCATTTCACCCAAAAGAAATGCAGAACATCTCATCCAAAGTAATCACCACTCTGTAATGGGACCCAAAGAGGAAAGTAGGGCAGTCTGAGAGACATTTTTTGAAAGCACACTCCTGGTCTGAACCACAAGCTCCTGGGACATTCCTGTTGTGTTTTGATTTTGAGAATTCGGAACTTTCGTTATTTCAAAACTTAGAGGAATTTTGGTCTAAATTCTATTTTTATTTAAGTCACAAGGAGTAATAAGTATTAAGTTATTTTTCTTTATTGCTTAGGTCTTAGTCTGGTCTAATCAATAGTAATACTTCTGAGTTTCTATTTATCAAGGTTGGCAAAGAGTTGATCCTTTCTTAGGTGTGTGTCTCTGCTGGTCATCTTAGATGAAAAAAATTCCATCAGAAATGGTTTCTTATATGGAAATCAAATCAGCACAGTACTCTGAAACAAGTATTGCTGCACCATCACAGAAAGCACAGAACAGACACATACTTTTCTTTCAGTGCAGCACTCTGAGATTTGTTATTTTCCTGTTTTATTCTCCAGCTCTTCACAAATAGAGCATAGAGCAGGCTGGCGGAAGGAACCACAGAGTGTTTTTGTACTATTACTTTCTCTCTGTCCTTATCTTCTTTTTAGTGCTTGTCCTTCCTGGGTAACAGATCCAGATTCTGGACGTTAGCTGTTATCTCTCAACACAGCTACACTTTTAAGTTTTCCGTGTGAAGTATTATTTTGAACACATGTTAATAGTGACTGAAAATGTAGCTTATGGCTTGGCTACTGTAGTGGTTTTCAGGATTTATGTTTCTGTATTATACCAGTTCTTTTTTTTTTGTTGGTCATTTGCTTTCATGCAAATGCTTTTGAAATACTGTAATCTTCTATTTCTTGTGTTGGTCAAGCTTAGAGGAAACTGTTTTTGTCAGCTGCATAGTAATTTTAGCTTGGAGACTGTCAGAATTCCTCCAACAGTAAGTGTGTTTATCAAGCTGGTCATTTTATATGAACAATTGGGCTTATTTGACTTCTAGATGCAGTAGTTGTTGTAATGAATTCATGAAATATGTATATGGTGGACTAGGGAAAACCATCAAGCCTCATGCATTTTGCATGGAAATCATTCACTTTTTTCTCTTCTAACATTTCTCCTCCCCTCAGATTATGTATCTTAGGTGGGCATGTTCAATCAAGAGCCTTCCTTGTTCTTGAAATGCTTATTTGCTTTTTGTGAGGATGTAAGGCTGGATTTATTCAAAAAACCTTAAGTTCTGAAAGGGTCAGAACAAAGTCTTCCAAAGTGGAAATAASAGTATTAGAAAATATTCCATTTTGCTGTGTGCTGAGGTTTCTCAGTGCAGCTTAGATACTGGTGGACAGAGTCCCAGGTGAGACTCCAGAAGCAGAACATTCTGCAGTGTTTTTTGTGCTCTAATCAAAGCCCTATTGCAGCCCTTGACCTGAAGCACATCTGGCAAGAGGTGCTGCTTTGTTCAGCCAGCACTGCTGTGGCCTTTGGCTATCCTTCAAGTTCCCTGCTGTCCTTTTAGTTTCTTCTGCTCTTTCCTCCAATCCTGAGGAAAAAGTTCTCTGCAGTGCCAAGAATTGGGTCACCTTCTCACACTGCAGTGTTTAACCCACCAAAGAGGGTTATCTCTTAGGGCATTGGATTTTTTCCTTTGAATACCCTCACAGTATGGAGAATTTGTGTGGTGAGGATGTAAGTGACATTACTTGTGTGTGAAACTAGAATGTGAGAGTCCAATGAAATTGAAGAGTCCAATGAAATTGAACTCTTAATACCCTTGTTGGCTGAATCTTGTTGACTAAATGGGAAACCTTTCCTTGTCTGGGAGTTAGGGTTTTTTTTATTAGATTTTGAAATAGGAGACCTCAGATGCATAAATAAGGAAGTTGCTTCAAAAACTAAACTGCTAGCAATATGGTATTTCTAGTGTAGGTTGAAAAAAAGCAAAGATTCAACTTAAGAACTTAAYGATGATGGCAAGTACAGTTTGTGGCATAAAAATTAAGAATGTGATTTAGGGTGTCCCCCATTGTATATTTGCACTGTGCTGTTCAAGTCCTGCTTGTCCCTAGTGGGAATGTCTGGGTTATAGAAGTGGGAACCAGTATATTGTGGACAAGCTGAAAGAAACACCAGGGTGAGCTGGGCTTGGACTTTGGACTATTAATTTGCAGATATAATGTGGTAAAATATCGCTAGCACCCAAACTGGGGAGCAAAGGTGCTGTCTTCTCCTGTGCATGTCATATATCTACACTTAGAAGATTGTAGTGATGCAAGCGTTCACCCAAATGACTTTGCCTGGGTATTGATCTAAGGCTTCTACTCAAAATGATTGATATGTTCAGAATTAATGCACGGTGGTGACATATCTGTAACGATGACAACAGAAAACCTTGAGAGAGATACAGTATGATGGCTTTTTTCTTTTTCGAATACTACTTGATCTATTGCGAATATTTCTAATTTACTCTAAATACTAATGGTGTTGATGGTATGACTCAACATTTCTTTCAGCAAAGCGATCGGCTTCAGATGTCTCTCCCCTTTTCCCGTCTTTTACTGTTAGCAAAAAGAAAGAAAAGCTGTTAAAATATTCTAAATGCAAATTCCAATGGAGTTTTATTGAGGAGAAAACTACCCTATTTTTCAAAATATTGTAGATATTCATTCACCTTAAATGTGAACTTGGAAATGAAAGCAAGTCCTTAGATCTTAGTGCAAGATCTTCAGCTTGCTTTACCTGTATAGTGATTAATTTCTGCTTCTGTGGTTCTTGCAGTTTTTAAAACCACTTAGATTTGTTATTTGAGTACCATAATGAAGATTGACATTCATCAACAGTGAACATTTTGAATCTGTGTCTTTGGATCATAYGAAATGTAGAGCTTTAAGCAAAAATGAAGAGTCCTTAGAGCTGTATTATAGCTATATGGAGGAAATGAGTATTCATGCCTACACTTTCTAAATTTGGTCAAGATTTAAGAAATGTAGTAAAGAAAATGGAGACCAGATTTCCTTTTTTTGCTATTCTTTCTATTTTTTTTCACATAGAAACATAAAAATCAGAAGTATAAGCACCAGTACTTCTAATGAAACAATATCTGTGCAGATCCTGTAGTATTTTAGTGGAGTCTTTGGAATAAAGATCTGATTTTCATAATTGATGCTCACTGTAGATATATAAGGACCTCTTTGCTTATCTGTTTCTCCATTTGTAAAACAGGGAGAGCAATGCTTTCTTACAATTAAACTGTCTTCAGACTTTGAGAAGAAGACTTGCTGTGACAGTGTTGTCGACAGGATGGCAAAGAGCAAGGCTGAGATGAGGAGACCAGAGGGTTTCATTTGTGTTTGTATTTAAACTACAGCACTGCCAAAAGCAGATTTGAAACTACTGTTCTAGTATGAAGTGTTGGACTCTGAAAGAAGTTTTGGGCTAATATTAACTTGGTAGGAATCACTTCACAGTAGTCTGAGAGGAATCCTGATTTTTTATTTATTTTTCAACATTGCTTTTTGAACTTCTTTTTGCTTGTCTTCAGAGCACATATGATAGCAGGTACTTGCCTTTTATCCTCCTACCTTTCTTTCTGAGCATTTTTGATGTCGAGATGGTGAGTTTCCTATTCATGGTAATCTATGAGACTTTCGAAAGTTGATTTAATAAAAGCAAAACAAATCTGTTGTATTATAGATGTTAAATTTTCTCTGGCATCCTCCCAAAACAGTAGACATCAAGGTCACAAGAGGTACATTCTATTTACAGGACTATATTTCATTTTTTCAATCAGACATTGTTTTTCTGTGTGTATKTTGCTGCACACATTGCAGTCCATGACATGCAGAAGAGATTATTTGGTAATTAAAATATTTCGTGTTTATGTGAGATTTTGAAATCAATAAAAATTTCTTAGTGAAATGAAATGAAGCTATATGTCTGTAATTACAGAATCCTGTAAGTTACAGATGAATAGAATTAGAACTAGTAGCTATTTTCCATCTCCTTTGGCACTTTCTCTACTATTTTGGTGGGTTTATTAGTAGATTTTTTTTCTCAGTCTTTTAGATATCCAAGTGATGGGCTTTCTAGTAATGCCTTTCAATATACCTATTACTTTTAATATGCAGTTTTAAAAAGTGAGTCTCAAGTAGAATTGCTTTGTCTTATAATCATGATTAGCAACAGGTCTTAGCATTTGAAATRGTAAGTAGCATAACACATCTTAAAACTTAAGGGTTTATTTTGACAGTCAGACCAAGGGCAGCAAGAGATTTCAGTAGGACTCAAGGAAATTGAATACAAATATTCATTTCTTAGTGCTCTGACACAATCCATTCCAAAAACAAAAGAAGGAAAAAAAAAGACAGAAATAATAATAGTAATAATACAGAAATCCTTTCTTTTTTAATATATATTCTTGTTAATGTAGTAATTTTTGTCATTCATTCTAGATAACTGTCATTCACCAGAAATACAGAAACTTTCACTTTGGAGAGAAAAATCCTTTCAGGTATATAATTTTGTCAATGATAATGTTTGCATTTATCATGGTCAGGTCTTCGTATTTGACAAATATCCTTCTGTTTCTAATGTTTTGGTTTTACTGACTGACATTTTTAAACCGTTATTCTACAAATGTCAGTATTGTTAATTTTACCTCTTAAAAAGGGAAGGGTTAAAAGAGTTATATTTTTGTATGCCCAAATGTAATAGAATTTGAAATTTAATGAGTATTTGAATAGACCACTTTTAAGGCTGATTTTTTAATTTGAATATAAATATATATTTTTTTATATTGTATATGTATATTCTTTATTATGCTCACAAAACCTCCTATTGCCTAGTTTCCTGGTTTCAATTATTTTAATAAGAAAGTATGTCTGTAAAACCATGAAACTGGCAATCAACTGAAATAACATTTTAAAATTAGATTTAAAACTGATGGAAAAATCATAAATAAGAAGTAAACTCATTTGAACATGGCTCTGGGCATGTAAAGTTCTCATTATGGTGTGGTAAAATATAAGCACTGAGAAAAATCAGTTTTATTACATTTACTAGAGAAGTAGTCTAAAGGAGAAGTCTAAAGGAAAAAAAAACCCTGATAGTTAGAGGGAATGGCATTCATGAGTAAAATTGACTATGTTGTGTGTTAATCATATGCAGTGATATACACCCCAGGTAATAGTGACGTTGCCTTTCCCTGATGGAGAGAAGTTCTTTCCTTTTTATCCGTCTTCCCTCTTTCATGTCAAGGTCTTACTTGTTTCCATGTTAAATTAACAACTAATCAAGTGGCCGTGTGAAAGGTGACTGATATCAAGTCATCTGATGCTGAATGTACAAGTTCAAGAAGAAAAAGTAGGCAAACACCTTTAGTACCAAACTGTCGCAATTAGGTTTGGCAATATAGTTATTGTTTTGTGAAATCTAACTGTGATGAAAAAAAGTCCTAATCTCTTTCCTAGAGAAGCTTCTAACACTCATTAGAATAATTTCTGTTTGTCTTCAGTGCTAAAAATGCAGCAAAGAGTAACTGTTTATCACAACATAAAAACATTGAAGAACTTGAATTTAAATTTGAACTTAATACAGCAAAAAATGAGCAATTTAAACAATTTTTTGAAGCACTTTGGCCTAAATAGAATCATGTGGAGAGATTTAAAGCTACAGATGCTGCAAATACTGCAAGACAGGGACTACTAACGAACAAAAAGAATTTACAGCATTAATGTAGCATTAATGTGGTAACTCATTACGTATGACAGCAGGGTTCATAACCTCTACAGGGGAAAAGTTGATAGCAGTTTCTGCTACTGATTCTGCATCTGAAAATAAAGACAAAGAAAACTTCATATCAATAAAATCTAAGGATCAGAGAGCTGCCTATGAATGTACAGCCTATGGTCCAACATGCAACACCAGAATGCAGCTGTAAGCTCTGAAGCTGCTTCTGCAATTTGAACATACTGAGAATACATAAAATAAAAAGTAATGTCGCCTGAAGGTTGGAAGCTCCATTTCTTTCCTTAGAACAAAGTATGACTATGCAGCATGGACACACAGTCCAAAAAAAAAAAAAAAGGTTTAAGAGCCTGAATTGGTGCAYTTTCTCTTTTGTGAATCATTTGAGTGAGGAAATAAAGCCAGTTTCAGCATTAAAATCCATTTTAGTATTTTCTGCTATGCTTTTCTAGAAAGCATTGTACTACATACTCTATTCTGTCTAAAGCATAACTGAAGGCATATGGATTGCTCTTAAAAGAAAACATCTGCCTTTTTAAATAGACATTTTAACTGCATTGTACACAACTATATAAGCTTATATATATATATGTTTATATTTAGTTGTTCCTGAAAAATGCTCTTCCAGTCTCAAAAGAGCTCTCATTGCAAAGGTTCCAACAGAGAAAGCTGCTTTCATTTCAGCAGAGTGTCRGCTCAAAATGATCCTCTTTAAAACCGAAGTTCTTCCATTCACTTACAATTGCTAGATTTTGGTGACAAAGCGATCATCATGATTGTAATTAAATATTTATCACACAGTTCTCTTTTGTCATCTGAATGTTACAAGGCAGGCAAAGATATACTTTAAAGGCTGAGTAGTAAGCTATATTATGATAGTATATCAGGCAAATGAGCGCTTGATGGACTGTGCTAATGTGAGCTAAAAATAAAATCCCATCTGTTCACCTTTCAAACTGCATCAAGGCAGTGCATATGGGTTGCAGAATAACTTAATGAAACGCAAATGAAAATATGTTTATTTCCATCTTGCTGGAACAAGTAAAACAGGCAACTTGTTAGTGAAGATGTTTTAAACAAGCAATGAATTGTATGCTTATGGTTCTCCTGCTATACTGTAGCACCACGTTCATTTAAGAGCATWAGTGAGCAGAAATAGAAGCAGAGATGTTCACTGACGGTTCTCTCTCCAGTACTCATATAAAGCTCAAAATCTTGATTACCAGTGCTGAGTGTTTGAATTATTGGAACAATTAATGATGTGCCCATTAGCATTAATTCTAGAGAATATACTGCATCTTGTGACCTTCAGTAATAATATTTTTTTGGTTCTAATTTTTTCTCATAATTTAAGGAGTTAATTTTTTGGTAGAATATATATATAWAAAAAACACTTCAGAGCCACATGCTGAATTATCTCTGTGAAGATCTGGTCCRTAAAAAGAGACTATTTATTTCCAGAAAGATGCAATGCATGCTCTGTAACATGACTAGGTATTACACAGTGGAAAAGGAAGTGAAGGGAGATTTTGTTTTCTCTGAGTAGCTCTTAATGCTGATGTAAGCTGAAGCTACTGGATCTACCATAATAAGGATTGCTGAGGATTTTTCAGTATACTGAAGGCAACATGAGTACTTTTGTTGAAAGATTTTTTTCACATTTCAGCTAATTGTACCTATCACATTTCAGCTAATTGTAGTCATGTAAAAAATACATGATATTTACCTGAATGCTCTTTCCTACAGCAGTACCCAGAAAAAATCATCTATTTTTTTAATAATAATTTCCTGTTGATTCTGCTTTGTGTTCAGCTAAAGCTGAACCATATCTAGTGAGTTGCGAGACCTTTTCTTTTGAAAGCCATAATGAAATGAACCCAAAGAACACCACTAATATGTTAATCATGGTTCAAAGGTGCAGGTGAATTGGATTTGATCTGTCTTTGAAACAACTCTTTGACAACCTGAAATAAGGAGTTAACTCCTGCAAAGATCTCTTATAGGAGAGGAAATATTTAGCAAGGCATAGATAGGTATGAAGGGTTCATATACTTCCTAAGAGGAATATGAAATTGCAGGAAGAGAAGACTGCGAGAGAAAATGGCTTTGTTTAGTTAAAATGTTCCTTATGGTTCAGGCTCCTGGGACACGTCTTGCTACAGGCAGCTTCATGATGGAAGAAGCCTGGAGTATATGCCATCCCCTTGAGAAACCCTACTGCTTCCTGGAAGGAAAACTGGCTGCAAGTTTACAGTGTGCTCCGATAGGGTCCCAGGAGTAAAGGCTGACTGCAAGTGAACTTCAGGCTGTACTAATCCATCTGCTCGTTTTCTTGACTTCAATGTAGTGGTTGCTGTCAAAAACATTTTTTTTAGAAAGATACGCCAGTCTTTCCAGTTGGAAGGTGCGTATGTGTGTATATCTCTCTATATACATCATGTGTATACATATATATTTGTATACAGATAGATATATATATAAAATCATAGTGTTTGCTTTGATTAAACAGATTGGATTCTGAAATGGCTGAGATGTGTTACAATCTGAAGCTCTGAAAATGAAAGCCACTTGTAAAAGCCGTATGTTGGGGGGAAAAACTGTCTGATTTGTCATCTTTGCCTGTCTTGAATAATATATTTTGAACGATATATTTCTATCAATTTTCAGTGTAATTTTTGAATTGTTTTTGTTAAAAATAATTCAGCCAGACATTACTTCTAGATGTGTGCAGTCAGTCCTCCTCCAGAAATCATTCTGTCCTTTTTTTCTTCCTTCCATGATTAATATGATAGTGTTCCAATATCTTTGGTTATGATATACTTAAAATGCAGTTTGTTTGTAGCCTTCTTGATTTGCCTTAAATGAAAAGCAGGAAGAAAGGTCCCATAAAAATATTACTGAAGTTGTTCGTAGGGTATGCTGTCACTGGGAACTTTTTCTCATCGTCTTTTTTACCATTGTATTTCTCAACAACAGGAAAAAAAGCTGAAGTGCCTTGACATTCCTGAGTTAGGGAAACTAATTGTACGTGTTGTTAATGAGCTCCTTCAACCTTGCAAAGAAATTTGCTCTGCCGTCTGAGGCTCAAACTGCTGTTACAGATTGCTACTGATTTTATATTTGTTAACAGGCTTTCAGATGCTGATACAGATTGCCACCAGAAACTGCAGAGTATTTAAATTTTTGAAAGTGAGCCTRCCAAGATTTAATTATATGCATAAGTGAGTCTAACCTTCTTAGAAATATTGCACTGCTGTCTAATGAATCAAGCAATGACTAACATATAGGAAGACGTGGAGAGAGGTTCCCTGTTCATGTTCTCTTCTGAGTTTTCATTGAATGCCCATGTATTTCTCTGGCTTTTGTTTGAAACTGAGTTTGTTTGCCAGGATTCTGCCTTTTCTCACTTTTGTGCCATCCTGTGCAGAAAACTATCACTACAGTACTTGAAATTCATTGCCTTATTTCTTAAAGATTTAAAAGTAGTCAGGACAAGGTCATTCAAAGATGTCCRTTTGAACACAATTTCAACAAATAAGTTCATGTATTATTTATTTACTTTATGCACTCAGTTTTAGTTCACTTTTTCCTCTAATGAGTAGCCAACTTTCTTTACAGTAGTTTCCTTTTTTCTTCTTTCTTCCACAACTTATCTGTTAGGAAAACTTCATGAACTAAGTCTGCTTATTGCTCATATTCCTATATTCAGATTCTTATTTCACATTGTTGTGATTATGTTACAGTGTTATTGTTATATTAGGGTTTTAAGTAGCTGAAGGTTTTTTCCTTCATTTTCATTTTTTTTTCTCTTCCTTCTCTTTCACTGAGAGAAAGAGGGGAGAAAGACGAGAAAAAGGGAATTATCCTTAAAGCTGTTTTTTCTTCCTAGGAAGATTTCAGGAAGGATCTCCTCTTGCCTTAATCTGTTTCATTCTCCTTTTCCTTTCCCTTCAAAACCTCAAGGTTAGAAAGATAGTTTACTTAATGATTTTTCACATCTTTTCACACTTTTTCCTCTTTTTAATGGTGGTGTTTCTCATCTCTGTTCCTTGATCCTTCAGGGGCYGAATTTTGCTTGCCAGTACTGGTGCTAGTTAAGGTAGTGGATCAAATGAATGCAATACAAYGTAGATACATGTGTGTTAGTGTCCCAAAGGTCTTCCTCCTATCAGGTTGTTCTTCCTGTCCTGTGCTGGAGGCATCCTCTGTACACATTTAGTTTTCTTCCTTCCTTGGTACTGCCAGAATGAAAAATCTAGAGAAAAACACACAGGTTCCTATAGGTAAACATTCCTTAGCTTTCTTTTCTAGGTGTTACATATATTATTAAACGTTAACAAAAAATAAAGAATAAGTTGTTCTGAAAGTGCAACCTTTTCTTCAATGTGTCATTCCATTCAAATACTGAATTCTGTGATATTTATTTCTCCTAGCTCAAAATTTAATGAGTTGCGTCCTGTTGGTAACAGTGGACATTCTTTGAAATCTTGGTAATGTCATATAAGTCAGCAGTTTGTTCCCTGTCTTCCTGTCACTTTTCATAGCGGRGTAAGTTGTTCAGGAAATGTAGTGAACTGTCTGTGGTTGGTTGTTGCACTATGATGACTGTGAAAAATTTATCTGTATGTTCTCAGGATGTCTGTGCAGATTTTGGTTGTGCAATTTTACGTGAACTAGCTGTAAACCATCTCTAATCTCAGGTCTATTATTTAGCTTAAAGGTAGCTCAGTTCCCTTCTTGTGAGTCTCCCCACGGAAGAAGCTGAGCACCTGTATTAAAGAACTGCATTAAGAAAAACAGTTGCTATTGAAGGAAATAAYGATTGTGAATGTGGTTTCAAGACTTCCATTTATCCTTTCAGTCAGATAGGATTTCTGAGCACTCGCCCTGCTTGAGTATGTAAACAAGTGCACTCACATTAACAGTGAAAGTTTAAAAGGTAGAATGTTGGGTTAATAGGTTTTAGATGACTCAAATATCAATATGTCACAATTTCTTGCATTAGTGCCTTACGTTTCTTTCTCACTTTCATTAAAATGTTTCTCAGCTACCGTGCTTTCAAAAGAGCTGGGCTCTTCGAATTGCTGGAACKATATACTAGAGGATCCTATGAAGTACTCTACTCTTGGTGGATTGTGTACRTAAAGGGGCTTGGTGTTCCGTTCTTAAAGCACAGCAAACAGTCARTAATATAAGCGGCAACATTCTGTGCCGAATGTTCCGCTGTGTGAGTCTCTGTGCTTGCTCTTAACTCATTACTCTGGCCTGCTGCTACCATTCAGGAGTCGATTGAAGAATGCACCCTGAAGAAGTCRTCACTGTACCACAGTGGTGTAGCACAGAAGGAAAAGTGAGTAAATCCTGTTTTATATGTGTGAAAAGGGTGTAAAATCTCTACTGATAAAACAGAAGTGTAAAAATTCTGCTTAAGAATACACAAATGTGCAAATGTGTAAATATTATACCTGAAAAGTCATTTTTAGAATGCACTTCCATCAAAGGTACCTTATAAATACTTTGGAGTAGGTAGCTAGTTTTATTTTTGCAATTTGCAGCCTGCTGTGGGTGACCCTGCTTGAGCAGGGTTTGGACTAGATGATCTCCAAAGTCCCCTTCCAGTGTCAGCCATGCTGCGATCCTGGCGTAAAAAAACAGACTGAGAGAGAGAGAGAGAGAGAGAGAGAGAGAATAAATAAGGAAACTACTCTGAGTACTGTTTCTGATACAAAACTGCCAGATTAATTTTGTGACCAATATATTACTTGCTTGAGTACATGATCTCTTCTATCAATATACTAAAATCAGAGAGAGAGAGAGAGAGAATAAATAAGGAAACTACTCTGAGTACTGTTTCTGATACAAAACTGCCAGATTAATTTTGTGACCAATATATTACTTGCTTGAGTACATGATCTCTTCTATCAATATACTAAAATCTATTCTAAAGCAAATAAAAATCAGATTAAGTTAGCCAAACACCATTATCCTTTTGTCTCTCTTCCTCTTCCTCTCTCTTTCATACCACATTGTGGTGGTGATTTTTTTGCACACTTAATAAAGGATTTAATTTCGGTGGACATTACTGTTGTAAAATGAGAACCTTTATTCACTATACTGCTCTTCTGCAGACTGTAAGACAGTTGTATAGGTAACACTCGATTTTGTGAGGTGTTCCCTTCCTCTAAAACCCATCTCCAATGTTTTTTCTCCAATTCTTCTTTTCTTGGTGGATGTATTTCTGCTTGTTCTGTCTGCAAATACTCTGATTCTAGTTTGATGTCTTTCTTATTTTTCAATGTTTGTTCATAGTTAAAAATGCATAACCTATAGGTACTAACTCTAATCCTGAGAAATTCCATAAAATGCTGTATAACTCACAGTATCATGCAAATGCAATTGAACTGTTCAGCTTTATGTTTTAGATTGTGTGATGTATCTGAAGAATAGGTTTTAGTGTGTAAAATTTTCCTGTATCCTTGAACTCATAATTTATGGGAAATGTATACTGACTTGATAGTAGCTGTGAGGAGCAAAAGAGAAATATAAACAGTGAAAGTAATAAATAGTTCTTGGACAGGCTTAACAGAAAGATACTTATTATTTTGCAAATGAACTCTTTCCCCCAAAATTTAAAAACTGTTATTTTAGGCATATATTTATAGCCTTAATCTTTCTTCAAGTAGAACATTGTGCACTAGTACAACATAGCTGAGATATGAAGCAAGCAGATAAATGAATGCAAACTGTTCTGAAAGAAGCCTCCTTTCAGAGATGTCTCGAAGTCATTATCTGCAGTCATTTGGCTCCAGGGATCCTATTTGTGTGGAAACGGGACTCTGGGGAGTGTCAAGAAGAAAGAGGGGAGGAGGACCATGTGGGCCCACTTCTCATCTGAACTAAATTCGAGATCTGGTATCTTGGAAGTGCTTTTGATTTCCATTTCTTATATAGATCAAGCACAGCTTTAAAATGGCAAAGATAGGCAATTATTGCTTTCATGTGAGGATTTATAGCTTAGTGTAATTTTCTTATTCACAAGGAAAAAGGACTCAGTCATACCAAAATGACTTTTCAAGCAGTCATATTTAAATAAATCATCTTTATTTAGATCAACTTTGTATGCTTGCTTTCACTTGTCATGTCCAGGATAGGGGAAAATAGTTCTTATTTTTCTAATCAGATGAGAATTACAGGTAAAATAAAAATGCTGCTTGCTTTTCTTATGACAGGCATCTGATGCAAGGCCTTTTCCAAGTCTAGCCTCGAAGCATCTTGTCCCACACAAAACAAGTATTTCAAATGTCTATTCTACTATTATTGTTTTTACTTAAAAAAAAAAAAAAAAAAAGATTCTGGTAGGATGAGTTTTTTCTATGCATTTTTCATGTAAATAATAGCCATGTTCTCATCATATTGCAATTCAACAAT